TAGTTCCGAAGGTTGTGGGGGTCTCCCTTCTTTGGAAGCCAGGTGAGCACAGCTCGCCTGCACGACAGGGGGAGGACTGCACTCTCCAAGGACTCAGCTCAGATGGTGACAAGGTCCGGGCCGAGGACATCCTAGAACACGTGGTAGAACTCCATGGTCAGCCCGTCCATTCCTGGGGATTTATTTGTGGGCATGCGGCGGAGGGCTTCCAATAGCTCGGCCAGAGTGAGAGGCAGTTCTAGCTGGTCCCATTGGGAGTCCATCCCAGAGCACTCTGCAGGCATTGGGATCAGTCGGATCCGGGGGAAAAAGGCTCACGTAGAAGGCCCTAGCCCTCCTGTGCATCTCCTCTGGATCCATGAGGGGGGTGTCATCCTCTGCCAGAAGGTAGGTGACATGCTTCTTAGCCCCCCTCTTTTTCTCCAGGGTGTAGAAGAAGTGGGAGCCGCGGTCCACCTCCCGAAGAAGGTGGATGCAGGAGCGAACAAAGGCACCCCGGTCCCGATGGTCCTCGAGGGCCCAGAGCTCCTCCTGCTTCTCCCGGCATGCTCCACAGAGGGATGGATCCTCGGGGCTGGTGGCCAGATGCCTCTCCAACTCTCAGACCTCCCATTCCAACTGTTCTATCGCCACGTCCCTCTACCGACTGGCACCCTGGGTGAAGAGTCATGGCAGAAGAGCCGGGTGTGCACTTTCCCCACATCCCACCACCACTGCGCCAAGGGAAAGGCATGCCTCTGCCCTCGCCAGGTCAGCCAGAACTCCCGGAAGGATGCCACGAAGCCCACATCCTCCAACAAGCTGTTATTGAAGTGCCAATAGGCTGGCCCTGGCCTCTCTGCACTGAGAGAGGCCGTCACGGTCGCCAGATGGTGATCCAAGAACGGGGACGGCCGGATGCCGGAGGAGTGGGTACATGAAAGGTGATAAATAAAAGCGGTCCAACCGGGAGTGGTGCGACTGATGGGCCTCCACCCGGACAAAGGTGAACATTGACACGTTGTCAGGGTGATGGTTGACAATCTCCTGGAGGCTGTCCGCGGTGGCCAGGCACTGCTTGGTCCCCGAGCGGTCACACTCATCGAGGGTGGTGTTCAAGTCCCCACCCAGGACCAAGCACTCGCAAGGATCCAAGGAGCTGAGGAAAGTGGATGCCTGTTGAAAAAAGCGCAGCTGCTCTGGGCCCAATGTCAGGGCATAGACATTGATGAGATTGACCACCAGCCCCTCCATGCAAACCCAGAGGTGCAGGAGGCTGCCCAGCACAGCCCTGGCAACCCCCAGCACCTCGGGCCATAGGTTGAGGGAGAACAGGGTAGCCACTCTGGCCTACAAGCTGTGAGGTGGCTAAAATAAACCCTGTCCCCCTACTCCAGGCGCCAACTTGCTTCGGCAGCTGGATCCGTATGGGTCTCTGCAGGAAAACCACAGAGTACCCTCCCACTCAAAGGAAGGAGAGCACCTGGCACCTGTGGAGACCCAGCCTACAGACCCAGGTGTTTAGTGTAGCGAAGGTGATGGGTAACATAGGGAGGGGCTGGGTCTCCAACAGGGATGCTTGCGGGCACTGTTGGGCCACATAGCAAACTGTGACTGAACCCGTCAGTAAGCAGGGAGTCACAGAAGCAGCGGGTCCGCTGGTAGGCAGAAGTGGCCAGTCTCCCAGTCCCTTTACCCTCCCCCAAAATGGCCCTCATGACCCAGAGGATTTGATGAAAGTCCCCCCAGAGCTGGAGAGCAAGCTACACCTTGTTCCAGGACCCACAGGTGTCCTGGAGAAACTCTCGCAGCTCCTCCCGCAACCTATCAGGGGTGAGGTCACAGGCCCCTGGCTGTCCTCCGGTGGGGCCCCTGTCGAAGCCCTGTGGCCTACCGAGACAGGCAGGCAGTGGGTGGACCACTGGTGTGGCACCCAATGTGCCGGCACCACGCAGCCCGCCTCAGACCCCAGCTCAGTCAGGGGCATCAGAGGGAAACTAGCAGCCCCTAAGGGGTCGGGACAGGGGAACACGAAGGCCACTCCCTGGGGGTCATCCACTAGCAAGGGGAATGAGACAACCCCAGGATGGCAGCAGCACGGGAGGTGGAGGGGAGGGAGACGGGATCAGCATCAGGGATGGGGGCGGGGCAGGGATCAGGAGCGGGATCAGGGAGAGGAGTGTGATCGGGATCGTGAGTCCCGGCAGCTGAGCTACTGGGGGGTGGCACCTCTTGGCCGGGCTCAGGTGTCAGGGACATGGGAAGGAAGCCCTCGGTGATGCTGGGCTCTTGCTCCATAGTGGGTGCTGCAGCTACAGCATCGATGGATGGAGAATCAGAAGTGGGGCCCCCACCTGGAAAGAGGTAGGCTGCCCCGCATCAGCGAGGGGTGCCCCTGGTAACCCAGGACCTTGCCGCGTGGCACTGACCTGGGCAGTGTGAGTGCCACTGAAAATCAGCTTGCGTGCTGCCTTTGGCACACATGCCATAGGTTGCCTACCAGATTATAAATTTATTGTAAACTGTTGGATCAACTACAGGCCAGTATATCAATTAAAGCTCCCAGCAATTTGTTTTTCTCCATAGTTTTCTTTATTTAACAAAAGAATTCAACTATGTGTCAAATGTTTCAAAGACTCTAAAGTTCTTCGCTGAAACCCTGGATCTGCTCCTTGGCCTTTTCCAAAGCCTCTCCCCATTTAGGCTTCTACCTCTTATTTCTGCATGTATCTCCTAGTAGATCTTCCACCTGCCTGGGCACGAAGGACAAAAGCTCCAAACCCCAGCCTGTCTCCTTCTCTGACTGAACAGGCCTCACCTCTTATAGTGCTGCCTCCAAGCAGTCACATGAACCATGATCACCTGACTCAGTCAGTCAAAGCCTTCGACAGGGCACATTTTTTTTATATGTACATGCGCCAGAACCAATGACCTGTTATATTTATCTATTAAAAATGGAGGGAAGGGAATAATAGCCTATATCCTAGGGAGCAGTGTAAGGCTTCAGTAAATAGAGGTGGTGAAATAGTGAATTATTAGGCCCAGTCACTAGAACTCAATCTCCTGGCTCCTATATTTGAGCACACATTTACATTCCTGCTAGGTTAAGCAGTGGAATGTTGTCAAAAGTGCTAACAACTCACACCCAATTAACTAGATATACACAAAGGGTGAATTAAAAGCAACTGTACCTGGAACATTCAATGATTCAGTAATGACTGTTTTCCTGCCAAATTCTAATGTTCTGTTTCACCCACTTCAGCACTATCGCTCTGCACATAAAGGTCACCAACAATATTTTTGAATGGGAAAAGTGCACTTTAAAAGGTGGAAGGCACCTTGGATGACAGTAATCATGAAATGTTGTCTGTAACTTGACTTTAGTAGGGCTTTTGATACTGTCTTAAATGACCTTCTCATAAGCAAACTAGGGAAATGTAGCTAAGAACCTACTCTAAGGTGGGTGCACAACTAGTTGGAAAACCATACTCAGAGTAGTTATCAATGGTTCACAGTCAAACCGGAAGGGCTTATCAAGTGGAATCCCACAGGGACCTGTCCTGGATTGGGTTCCATTCAAGATCTTCATATGATTTGGATAATAGCATAGAGAGTACACTTATTACATTTGAAGATGATTGCAAGCACATGGAAGGACAGGATTAGATTTCAAAATGATTTTGGCAAACTGGAGAAGTGGTCTGAAATAAATACGATTACATTACATAAGGACACTTAGGAAAGAACAAGCAACTGCACAGATACAAAATGGGAAATGACTGCCTAGGAAGGAGTATTGCAGAAAAAGATATAGGGGTTGTAGTGGATCACAAACTAAATGAGTCAATGACGTAATATCCATGGGACCTTTCCACATCTGGGAAGGGAAACATTTGTTGCTTTAAAGAACATGTAAGTAACATTTATATTTATTTTTAAGCTGGTGTTCAAGGAAATGGCATTTTATCTCTAGTTACAGTAATTTCTTTGTGCTATAAATGAGGCAACACAAAAAGCACTTGAATCACATTGCTTCCAGATATTAATTTATTATTTGCAGACTCCAGTCTCTGGTAGTCTAAGTTTCAACATAAATTCTGCAATTGTGCAGTATTTTCTTTGCTAGGGCTTGGTTTATAAACAAGTGTAGTAGATGCTTTCAAATTCTCATCTATATATTTTCCATTACATAGACCGCAGTGTACTTGCTATTGTTCATTTGAACATTATATAATTTACACACAGTTTAATCTTTATAGTGCAAATAGACTAATCACTACATGTGATCCAAGCCATATGTTTTTTAAAGAACAAGGAATGTTACTGAAAATGCATACATAAATATAAAAAAAGACTTGTGACCATTTCATAATATAAAGGTTAACGGCTTGATCCTTCAACCAATGAAGTCAAAAGAAAAGCCTTCAGAATCTGAACCTGTTAGTTATTGAGCTACCTGAATTCCAATAACTCCAATGGGAGTTGAGACCCTCAGGAACTGGCTTTATGTCTCTGCCAACCCTATCAGAGTAGATTTTCCTAAGAAGAAACAAAAAGAGCAACTGTCAGAGCTTTTCAAAGAATTCTTGCTGAAATAATTTAGATTTCTTTAATTAGCCCCTGTCAAATAGTATTTTAGAGAGCTGGATAGAGATATTGGACTAGACTATAGTTGGAAATGTATGATTTGAATCTCTAAATACTAACATTTGAGATCTGCTGATCTCAGCAGAACATTTCAGATTAGGTCTCCAAAACGTTGCCTCTTAATTTCTGTAAATTATTCACTAAAGTTATTAGGGACCCTCTTATGACCTTGGGACGTCATCCTGCTCCCATTTAAGTAAATGGAAAAACTTCTATTAGCTTCAGTGGTGCAGGTTATGCCCTTAGTGAAGGGGGAAAACATGCATTTATGCAAACTTTTAAAAAATATCGACCATTTGTCCAAAATGGATCAATGAAGTATAACACCATAGTACTGAGAAATTTACAACAAAATAAATACCTGACAAAGTCCCAAACATAAATTAGTTTATTAAAATTTAGTAGACAGAGAACCACTGCATAAATAAAATTAATTATATCTGGTGCAATCTTCTTTCCAACATTTTACAGAAAAAAGTTCTTCAATTTTGAAACAGATGGGTATTTCAGGATTTTAAAAGTCCTGGAACTGATTTAAAGGATAAAAATTTCTAATGGTGAAAAAAATACATGTATTATAATTAAAGAAATTCAATTAAATTGTTTTGTTTCTCACAATCTCTTTGTAATTAGAGTTCATGCTTGAAGTATTACAACCAGTCAATTACTGTGCACAAAAATAAGATTAACAGAGAAAGTACACAACTATTCAAAGCTTAAGAGAACTAGATACAGTGCAAATTTTCAGGACATAACCTGAATGAGTGTCTCATATATGATTGATGTCAGCAATCATATTTTCAGTATTTCATGAAGGAATACTCTAGTCTGTAAATAACAACCTTCTTTTAATTTTAATAGATTTTACTATTACACCTATTTGAAACAGCAGATCCTTTTACCATGTAAGTACTGTTTTCCATTTTGACATGCTGACAAATTTCAGCCAAAGCACCTGTATATTTTTTTGACTGATGCAATACCTCTGGCATTTGTATTTTAATAAACAAAAACCATGGCAGCAATATCTTGGGTTCTGCGTGACACATGTACTTTGTTTTGACAGCTATCAGACATTGTTAATTTTCCATGCACATCATCTATTCAAACCAGTTTTCCTTTAGTAGAAAATGTACAGCATCATCAAATCCATTTTGGTACAGTGATTCCATCGTCTTCTGACTTGGTGGGAATAAAGCTTGATTAAGCCTTACCAGGTTGGCCACAGACAACTGCAACAGAGAAGTATTTTAAATTAGGCAACTGTCGGGACCAACTATTGTATTTTGATTTTCTTGTTCTCTTTGTCTCTTCATCTCTCCTACACCCCTTTAGGATGGATAGATGATGTTTCCAAAATCTAAGGACTATTCAAGATGCCAGTTGATCATCCTGATAGTGTAATGATTGTCTGGCTATAGATATGCTCTCCCTCCTTACATTTTAGATTCTTTCATTAAGACTATTTTATTTGTAGGTAATTTAATCCAATAATAAATAAAATTACAATGAATAAGATATTAGACATTTATTAGTTTAAATTATTAACTCATTTAATATATATTTTATTTCTTACACACTTCATAAATGGTGCAATATAATTACAGAATAATAATTACTTTTATTTTAAATAATTAATTAATCAAATTTTGCAACTATGGAATCACCAAGTCTCTGGAGCCTTGTCTGAGTTGAATAGGGCAGTTCAAAACTCTCAGAACTATTGTTTCAGGTTGACTGCAGATTCAGACACGCATCCATTGATTTGGTTAACATTTTCAAGGTTGTCTCTGTAACTCTGAGGACTAGAAACTGTTTTAAGTGACACTTCAGATTCTGGAGCACAACTGTGGGGCAGGAAGTGACTTCTGTAGCAAATTCCACAGATGCAGAAAACAGAGGGCCCTCCAAATAAACTCTTTAGCATGTATGGATGAGGCACCAAACTTTGTTTATACAACCAAGACTCAGCTAGATGACTCAGTTGGACGATATCAACTTATTTTCTATATGGATACATGATGCAAATATTAGCCAAGTAATGTGTGGCAGATAGCATATACATGTTAATTCCACCTACAAAATCATCTTTCCAAACCATTCCTACTGCTGAAATCCTTGTCCATATTCTAATCATCTTACCTTGAATAATGCAACCTTTTCCTGTCTGTCCTCAGCACTCCCTGCCACTGCCAAAGTAATCTCTCTCATCACTTCATCCACATCCCTGAATCTTTCCATTGGTTTATTGTATCTCACAGTGATTTCACTCTCGTACAGAAGACTAGCACACCACTGAACTCCCAATTAAGATCTATTTTAAGTGCTTAATTAGGACTTCAGTGGTGCAAAAGCCTTGTGCTGGTCATCTGCATAGGAAAGAATTTGTCATACTGCATATGACTCGAGTTCCTCATTCTCTTCACAAGTAAAAAGGCAGAAAATACTGCAAGTGAACTGTCGGCTGAATGCCTGGCTTGGATTTGTGGAACATTGAGCCATATTGCTCTGGGAGAGAGGACTATAGGAAAAAGACAGTCTGCATCTCACAAGCAGGGAGCTAATCTTCCCAACTGGAAACTTAACTGGAGCAGCTAAGAGGGTAACATAGGAGGAGGAGGCAAAAGTGGGAGAAACTCAAATCTAGTGCATCATAAATAAACTAAACTGATGTGACATAGAACATGAAAACACAACATTTTTCAACTGTTCTGTGGTAGGAGTCTGGACAACAAGCAAGAGAAATTGGAAGTTTACATTGGTGAGAATAAATTTGATATAACTGGCACTACTGAAACAGTGGGATGATTTACATGACTGGAATGTTAAAATCCCTTGGTTTAGGAAGGACAGAATGGGTGAAAGAATTGGTGTGTGATATTAAAGATACCATTACTTGTTTTAGAGTTATTTGTAACTCAGAAGCATAGGATCTTGAATGCATATAGATCAATGTGCTAACTAATAAAACCCAGGAGAGTGTATTCGTGAGAGTCTGTTACAGACCACTGAATCAAACCAGAGAAAGCAGGATTAGTTACTTTCTTAAGCACTTGTCTTTAATATGAGGAAGGAAAGATTGTGTTGTGAGGGGGGACTTTAATATCAGCAACATATACTGGAAGTCTCAAGCAACCAATAGAAAAAAATTATCAGTGTCTAAAAGTTATAGATAATTTCCTAACATAAAAGTATTGCACCCAAAAGGAGTTAGCTCTATTTTGGACCTCATTATGATGGAAAAACAATCATTGGACTAGAAGTTGGTATTTGCCTAGGAATCATGATTACATTCAATTAAGGGCAAACAGAGGACAATCCCAGACATATCTGGTGCTTCAAAAGGGTTAATTTCCCAAAGATGAGGAATATTATGAGCAAAATGGATTGGGAGAAAAAATTTAGGCAGAAAAATCTGAATGAAAATCTCAAAGAAGATCTTATTAGATGTCAAAAAAGCCATAATTTCATAAACAAGAAAGAATACAAATCTGGCTGAAAGCCCATCCTGGTTCATTAGTAAAGTGAAGGGAGCAATTAGAAATAAAAAAACCAAATATATAACAAATAGGAAAAAGGGAAATAAACAGTAATAGATAATTGTTAAGGGAAGGTTAAGACATCAAGGGAAAAAAATGGATGGAAAGGCTAAGGACAATAAGGAGCGTAAGTACAGGTGACCCTACCAGCATCCACTCAAGGTGCCCCAATTCATTAATGTTAAAGTATCTGATAGGTGTCATGTAATTGGAAAACTAACAACACACTGATCATTAATATTCTTGAGTGGTGTATTTATGGTAAATGCCCAAGGGGCTATACAAATATGAAGGAAATGTAGAAAAGGTGTTTACCAGACAAGTAAACAGGTTTTTCCCAGACAAAGGACAGCCTGATGCCTCCGGTGGTCATCAGAGTCAATAAGCAATCACATCATTTGCATTTTAGCAAACACCAGTGGAGGAAGAAGCCATGGAAAGTTCTTCATTAGCAGAAACCATGTCTCCTTCCTCACAGCTTGAATGAGCTTTACTTTGGGTGTGTGTGGGGGGGTAACCTTCAGAAGCGTCAATTTCTAAAGTTCACTAGATTATAAAAGAGAGAAGCAAAGACCCCCTAAGATGACAAAGGAAACAAGCACTATAAACTTTGTGGGACATCTTGACCAGAGGGGTGGTCAGCCATCTTGCTGGAAAATTGATTGATAAGGAAACTACCTTGAACAAAGGCTGTAGGTTACACACTAGAAAGCATTTTTCACTTTTATTTGGTTGGAACCATTTCTAATACTATCTTTTGTACTTGAGCACACCTAAAATTCTATATCCTTTTGTTAATAAACTTGTTTTATTTTCAAGCTATACCAACCCAGTGCTGTGTTTGAAACAAAATGATTGCTAGCTCCGGTTAAAGTGATAAAGCTGTGCATTTTGTCTCTTTAGAGGAACAAACAAACCTTCTTATTCCACTGAATGGTCCAGGGAAGAACTAGGCATTGCAGAGCACATACTTTTGAGAAAAACTGAGACTGGGGAGGAATATTTGGGTCATCTTGCAAGATATAACCAGAGCTGGTGTATACTGGACTGGGGCTAGGGTTTAACAAGCAGGCTGCTGGAATCACAGTTGCTAGTTCAGACCTGCTTATCACAGACACTCAGTGCATGGCTTGTCTGCAGGCTTTCGGTATCCAGGCTGAGCCACAGCAGCAGAGCATTTAAGGCACAAGCATTACGGGCAATCAATGACAAATCCCTTACTGGTTTGGCTTGCAGTATATTAGGAACAAAAGAAATCCCTCAAATCGTATACTACCCCATATTCCCTTGTTAACAGATGGAGATGGTAAAATTGTTAATAATGATGCAGAAAAGTTCCATAAATATTTCTGCCCTATATTTTGAAAGAAAGAGGATGAAGTATTCATTTCAGATGTGGATGATGCACTTTCCAGCCCATTAGTAACAAAGGAAGTTAGTCAATCATCATCTACTAGGAATAAATATTTTTCAATCAGCAGACCCAGATAACTTCCACCCATGAGTCCTGAAGAGTTGACTGAGGAGCCTTTTCTGGCAGCAGAGAAAGACTCCAGCAGTGGGGAAAGGCTCTGCCAGCTCCCCGCTGCTGATGTGAATTTTTAATAAGTCTTGGAACAGTGGGAAAATTCCACAAAATTGGAAGAGTGCTAATGTTGTGCCAATACTCAAAAAGGGCAAGTGGACAGGTAACTATAGCTAGTTAACCTGACATAAATCCCAGCCAAAATAATGGAAAATCGGAAAGGATATTCAATTGATAAAGCATTAAAGGATAGGAATATAAATAATGCCAGTCTACATGGTTTTACAGAAAGTATGTATTATCAAACAAACCTGATTTCATTCTTTGAGGAGCTTACAAGTTTGGTTGATAAAGTTAATTGCATAGACCAGGGATCGGCAACCTTTAGCACGCAGCTTGCCAGGGTAAGCCCCCTGGCGGGCCAGGCCGGTTTGTTTACCGGCCGTGTCCGCAGGTTTGGCCGATCGCGGCTCCCACTGGTTGCGGTTTGCCATCCCAGGCCAATGCGGGAAGCGGCGCGGGCTGAGGGATGTGCTGACTGCAGCTTCCCGCAGCCCCCATTGGCCTGGACTGGCAAACCACGGCCAGTGAGAGCCGCAATCAGCTGAACCTGCGGATGCGGAAGGTAAACAAACCGGCCCGGCCTGCCAGGGGGCTTACCCTGGCAAGCTGCATGCCAAAGGTTGCCGATCCCTGGCATAGTCCTAATATATTTCGACTTGTAATGTGTTTGACTTAATACCGCCCCACATTCTGATTAAAAATTAGCACCACAAACTATCAATAAAGAACACATTAAAGGGATTAAGAACTAGCTAACTGACATAAATCTCATAAAATAGTTGTCAATGGGGAATTCATGTTGAATGGGATATTTCTAGTGAAGTTCTGCAGGTATAAGTACTAGTCCAGACACTATTCAACATTTAATTGATGAGCTGGAGGTAAATATAAAATCACTGCTGATAAAATTTGCATACAACACTAAAACTGTCAGGGCGGTAAGTAATGAGGAAAATGGCAATTATATAGAACAATCTGGATCTCTTGGTAAGTGGGTCCATTCAAACCAAAGGTATTTTAATACAGCCAAATGCAAGGTGATACATTTAGGAACAAAGAACCAGGAACAAGGCTATACCTACAGAATTGGGGACTGTGTCCTGGAAATCAGTGAGTATGGAAAGGATATAGGTGTCAGAGAACAAACAACTCAACATGAGCTCCCAGTACCATGCTGTGGCAAAAAGGGTTTATGTGATCCTTGGATGTATAAACAGGTTTTACCTCTGTATACAGCACTGATGCAAGAGATACTGGAATACTGCATAAAATTCTTGTGTCCACATTTTAAAAAGGATGTTGAAATATTGGAGAGTGTGCAGAAAAGAGCCAGAAAATTTATGAGGGCATGAGAAAATGCCTTACAGTGAGAGACTAAACAAGCTTAATCAGGTTAATTCATCAAAAATAAGATTGAGAGGTGACATCATTACAGTGCATAAGTGTAGAGAGAAAATACTGGGTAGTAAAGGGCTCTGCAGTCTAGTGGAGTAAGGCACAACAAGAACCAATGGTTGGAAGCTGAAGTTAGACAAATTTAAATTAGAAATTAGGCATAAATTTTTAACAGTGAGGGTGATTAACGATTGGAACTAAATACCAAGGGAAATGGTAGATTTTCCATCTCTTGAGGTCTTCAAATCAAGCTTGGATGTCTTTCTGGAAGATATGCTTTAGTCAAAGACAATTTATGCTTTAGTCATACCAAATTACTGGGTTCTATACAAGGGTAACTGGGTGAAATTTAATGACCTGTGATACACAGGAGGTCAGACCAAATGATCTAGTGATCTGTTCTGGCCTTAAACTCTATGAATCTATGAAGAAGGCCCTTACACCTTGTGTACACAAGGAAATTAATCAGCATATAAGGTTGCCCTGTTCAGGTTTTCCCATGATCATCCTTTTTTGAGGTGGCTGTCCTGGAAAATCTGTAAGTGTGCTCAGTACACACTGCCAGCTGTCCAGTTTTGTGGGCTCAGGATCATCCTAGATGTCTTGGATTTTTGTACCTCAGAGGTGACAACCCTACTGGCATAGCTACTGCAGAATAACTCCCTGTGTGGACACTATTCTGGAATAAGAATCACTTTATTCTGGAATAATTACTCCACTTTGGAAGTTGTAGGTCATGCTATCTAATCTTTCCCCAGGCCTTTGCTGGAGGAATTGTATTAGGATAGAATAACTTCTTTATCTTCTTCTATTTCTCCTCCCCCCCCCGCTTTTTTTTAAACATTGCTCTGTAGTATGGAGTTTGTAGCCTTTTAAAAAAAATGTACATGTGCCCATTGAGCTCATTTTATAAACTGAAAATCCAACACTTCATTTTTTCTTTAAAATAACCTAAAAAAGATTAGGTACTCAATTCCCATAAAAAGTCAATGGGAGTTGGGTACCAAACTATCTTAGCTGCTCTTGAAAATCACATAAAACAGCTAGCAAAAATAAAAATAATTATGCTATCACCGAAATTAGTTAAAAAACAAGTCACTCACCATTAAGTCTTGCTTTGCAACTTTTATATAGAGATCTACATGTCCTTTGTCTTGTGGACAGATATCTAATCGACCACTGAAAGGAGAAACAGTGACTGTTCGTCCCACAGGCAGAATAGGGAGGCCGTTGGTAAGGCCACCATCAATCCATTTCTATTGGAAAAAAAAGTCAGAGTTTGTTATGTGCTGACTAGAGCTGGGTCAAATTTTTCATAGTGAATGTTTTATTAGTTGAAAATGCAGTTTTGGTCAACCTGAAACTATTCATGAATTTGACATGAATTCACATATATTTTCTCCTTAAATATATTTTTCTGGATAGAGGAGGAGACGGCCTTTCCCTTATAACCGCCATCCCACTAGTTTGATCATTCACCTGGGATATGGAAGACACAAGTTTAAATTTCCCCTTGACCTGATGTAGAGAAGGAATTTGAACTTGTTCTCCCTCATTACAGGAATGATCCCTAACCCCTGGACTATGGGATACACTGGGGCAGATATCTCATAGTCTTTCCCACTATGTATAAACAATGAAGTAGTCACTGGAGTGGGGACTTGAATTTGGGCGTCCCACATCGTAGATGAGTGTCCTAACCACCAAGCTACAGCGATAGTCTTACTCACTCTCTTTGGTCCAATGAATAGTGACTGGGCCAAAAGGAGGGAAAGAATATCTCTGTAGTCTGGTGGCTAGGGAATTCATCTATGACAGGGGTCGGCAACGTTTGGCACGCGGCTCGCCAGGGTAAGCACCCTGGTGGGCCAGGCCAGTTTTATTTCCTGCTGACGCGGCAGATTCGGCCGATCGCGGCCCCCACTGGCCGCGGTTCGCCGTCCCGGGCCAATGGGGGCGGCGAGAAGCGGC